AAGGAAGGAGCTCTATAGCTTTCTCTGTCACCCAACATAAGAAACAAAGACCCCTCTCATCTTTTAAGGTAATCAATGGTTAGGAACTTAGCTAAAGAAGGCCACCAATGACAGAGGACAGACACAGATAGAACAAATGTCCACCTCCCCCAACTCAACTTCAAGGAAGGGTTTGACAAGACTTTCCAATGTTTATTGTCAATACCTATTTTTGGGATAAACACCTCTTTAAGATGGCCACACAAACAAACCAATTTGACTATCTATTGGTCACCCATTTTCCTTCAAAAGAAGGGCAAGCTAACTATATCCATCCTCCCTATCTCAGTCATCAAAATGGATGAAGAAATATGTTCCAATAGAGACCAGATTCAGCAATGAAATTATTTTGTTTGCCCTCTGAATATATCAAAAATATATAAAGAATACATTTTTCAGTTAATTTGAATTTAAGAGTAAATGTTATAACTAACAAACCAAAAAAAAAAGCCTGAAAGTCAATACCTTAAACCCATAAATAAAATGAATCCAGCATGAAGCTTTTTTTTTTTTTTTGGGAAAAAATCCAACATGAAGTTATTCCCAACAAGTAAAAACTAGAAGGGTGCAGTTTGTATAAAGCTGAGGCTCTAAACCAATGATTTAAAAATCGCCGAGTCGAACCGGACTCGTCGCCCGGTTAGACTCGGGAATCTGCACAGGCGGTGCTGGTTCCAGCACAAAACCGAGAACCGCCTAGTTCAAGAGCAGAACCGCCAGTTCCCTCCCGGTTCTAGCAGTTCCCTCCCGATTCTAGCCGGTTCCCTCCTGGTTCTAGCCTTCACACGTGTGTACGCGTCACGCGTGCCACACACACCACTCACACACGTGTGTATGTGTGACACGAGCCGTACACATTCCCACACGTGCCACACGCACATGCACGCACGTGTGTGGATCACGCGTGCCACACGCACCACTCCCACACATGTATACGTGTCACACGTGCAACACACACCAGTCCCACATGTGCCACATGTGCGACACACACCACTCCCACATGTGCCACACGTGTGACACACCACTCGCACGTGTGTCCACACGTGCAACACACACATACACGTACGCATCACACATGCGACGCACACCACTCCCACATGTGCCACGCGTGCGACACGCACATGCACGTGTGCATGTGTACTGATGCCCTAGTGTTTTCACACTTGCATTAATCTCCAATTACATAGTTATTTATATAGCATATTTGAATACTCATCCTTCGATGTGGGATAATTCCCAAACATCATTAAATGAAAACATAATATAAATATATGCTATTAATAGGCAATTTTAAATACATATGTTAAGGAGGCATGATGGTTATCACTAATGTTATTTGTTTTGACATCTCAAGTTCGAATCCCTTCTTGGGACATATAATAGTCCATATAATAGTTATCCCTTCTTGAGCAAATTTTTGTTCCCCCTTGGGCATATAATAAATTAAAGTGTTTTTTCCAAAATTAGTACGCAGTTTATTAATTTTTACATTGATAACCAAATATTTCATTTTATTTATTAATTTTTACATTATAAATCATGTAATGTACTATTTTTCTTACAGTTGTCAATAATACATTTTAAATTAGATAATATTATAAAATATTTTTAATTTGTTATTATTTATCTAATAAAATAATTATAAAATGTAAACTAATAATTATAATTTCAGTATATAATATTATAATTAGTTAGGTTGTAATAATTTTGGATTATAGTTAGTTAGGTTGTTATAATTTGGGTTTTTTTAGCGGATTAGGATTTTTCGCCAAAACAAGATTTTAATGGCCATTCTTTCATTGATTCAGTCTATCCTTTATTATAGTCCATGTATAATTATATATTTTATCCATGATAATGCTATGATTTTTTTTTTATGTGATGCAAATTTAATACTTAAGTTTATATAGGGAAAGAGCATCTCAATATTCACAAATTGATGAAAAAACTGAAAGTTCATAATGTACTACCCTCATTTCTTATTGGATTACTAAAAAACAACATTTATAATGAGTTTTAATAATTTTTTCGGATTTTTTTTAAGCTCTAATCCGACCGATTCAGTCGATTCCCGATCCGGATCGCCGATCCGGATCGGTTTTTGAGGTGTCCGATCCGGTTCACCGATTCGCTTTTTAAATCATTGCTATAAACAGTCAAAGTAAAACGCACCTTCAAATAGTGTCGAGAAATGTGGTTTCAATACTAAAAATCTTTGTGATAGCCTTAAAATATATTTTCATCTCTAATTATAAAATTTAAAGCTTCAAAAATAGGGTAGATCAAGCAGATCTATGAAAATTTGAAAACCTTGAAAATTAACGGTCCAAAAATGCATTACAAGATGCACTATATCCAAAACTTGAAATGCATTTTTTTCTCATATCCATGCATCTTGAAGTCAATATGATCAATTTGAGCATATTTGGGCATCAAAACAACTTCTTCTAGTGAAATTTTAAACAATCAAAGTAAAGCGCACCTTTAAATAGTCTCAAGAAATGTGGTTTCAATACTTGAAATCTTCGTGATAGCCTTAAAATATATTTTCATCTATAATTATAAAATTTAAAGCTTCAAAAATAGTGTAGATTGAGTAGATACATTAAATTTGAAAATCTTGAAAATTGACAGTCCAAAAATGCATTACGAGATGCACTATTTTCAAAACTTAAAATCTATTTTTTTTCTCATGCCCATGCATCTTGAGATCGAGATGGTCTATTTGAGGACAAAGTAAAACGCACCTTCAAATAGTGACAAGAAATGTGGTTTCAATACTTGAAATCTTTGTGATAGCCTTAAAATATATTTTCATCTCTAATTATAAAATTTAAAGCTTAAAAAAAAGTGTAGATCGAGAAGATCTATGAAAATTTGTAAATCTTGAAAGTTAACGGTCCAAAAATGCATTACAAGTGTGGAAATATTGTTCCTAAAGGTAAGTGTGAGTTTCTACATTTCCACACTCCCCCTCAAACTCAAGATGAGTTAAGAGAGAGCATCTTGATTTTGGACATCTAAAGAACGCATGCCTTAGTAACAAAGCAGAAACAGAAGAAGCTTAAGCAGCTGCAAATTAACGATTCGCAGAAAACGACATCTTGAACAGAGCAATCTCGCGTATCAGCAAATCAACAGGCATTCGGAACAGACATGATCGAGTAATTCAATCACCAAACATGAGGCACTTGGAAGAGCTAGCAGCAATCAGCGGTGGATCAACAAGCACAGTTGGACCTTAGATTTGGAGTTGAGAACAATAAGATCCAAAACATATTAGCGAGTCAAAACACGACTCGACAGAGAGACAGATCAGAGAGTCGAAACATGACTCGACAGAGAGACAGATCAGAGAGTTGAAACACGACTCGGAAGACAGATCAGATAGTCGAAACACGACTCGGCAGACAGATCAGAGAGTCAAAACACGACTCAGCAGAGAGACAGATCAGAGAGTCGAAAACACGACTCGATGGCTGTTTTGTAGATAGCAGATCGGCCGTTTTCATAGACCATTTTCAAAAAAGGGCAAATGATTTTGATTGGAGGGCTCAACATGATAAAAGAAGTTTCAAGACAAAGGGAAGGTGATGATTTCTCATTTTTGAGGCATGAGGCCTTGGATAACCCATGTGTAAAGCGGAGGAAGGATGAAGAGGTTCAGAGGCGAGAGAGAGATGACAAGGAAGATAACATATATAGGGTTATGGAAGATGCAAGTAGAAGGAAAAGAGAGAAAGATGAGGGTCTTAACCATAGGAGAAGAGAAGATCGAGCTAGATCTCGAGACAGGCCTGAAGATCACCACTCTTTCCGTCAGAGAGAGAGGGATAGCAGTTGGGAATAGAGAAAGAATGAGAAGCTTCAAACCTTGGGCAAGGAAGAAAATAGTATTGGCTTCGAGACGAAAGGCACATCCAATGATGATTGGGTGGTTGTAGACGAAGATCGAAATGGAGAAGACCGACATCTTGAGACTGTTGAGAAGTTGAAGAAGAGGAGTGAATGATGAAGCTTCCTCCTAAAAATAGGGCCACTAAGAAGAGGATTCCGTCAAATAGCGGAGTTCGACAAGGAAAAAAAGATTCTGGCAAAATGGAAGGCAGTGGCTGTCAGGAGCAAGCAAAGGACAGCTTAGAGAGAGAGAAGGGAGAGTAGAGGCGGAGAAATTATTATTTTTAGAGAGGGATAGTGTAGAGAGAGAGAGGACTCCATGGCTTAAGTCTTGGTGTTTCTAGAGAGAGAAAGCATTGAGTCTATTTTCCATTATGATGCGAAGCAATTGGAAAGAAGCAACAAAGATCCTACGGTTTCACGGCTCAATCAGAAGGGATAGCATCGAGGAATAACAGATTTAATAGACTCAATCGAGGAATAAAAGGATAGCATTGAGGAATAGTAGATTAAGACTCGATTGCTCAGGAATGGATGAATCTGGCTCTGATACCACGTGAGAAAGTGTATTTCTGTATAATTGGGCTTTAAGCCCCCCTGAAGATGTATTATTGAGGTTATCAAAGATACGAACAAGAGCCCCAATTTATAGGGTTACAAAGATATGTAGTACTATAGAAACTAACATATGCAATGAACCACCGTCCTAATAGGGGTACACATTGTTCCTAAAGGTAAGTGTAAGTTTCTATATTTCCACAACAAGATGCACTATTTCCAAAACTTGAAATCCATTTTTTTCTCATCTACATGCATCTTGAGGTCTAGATTATCAATTTGAGGATATTTGGGCATCAAATCAACCTCTTCTAGTGAAATTTTTGAGGTGCACCCTATTTTGATCGTTTAGTGCCTCGCACTTAAATAAACTTTTTCCAAACTAAAAAGCAACTGCACAAAGTCAAAATAGTAGAAATATGCAATGGAGAGCTAATATAGTTCTTCACAGAAGATTCAGAAATGGTGGAATAGGAAGTCAGAAAAGAAGGGTGGGAGTGACCAACCTTAACAGAACTAGCATCAAGCTCAAGAGCCCTTCTGCAATCTGCTTCTACTCTGTCCCAATCACTGTTAAGCCAAAACACCATATTAAAATTGCAGCGCAAATACACAAGAAAACCAAGAAAGAAGAAACCCACACACAAAGAGAGAGTATATATATATATATATGAAAATCAATAAAAAAGAAACCCAAAAAGATAACAGAGAGAACTGACTTGCGTTTCCTGTGGCAAAGAGCCCTGTTGGTCCAATACACAGGCACGTTCGGGCACAAAGTGATGGCCTGAAAAAGATAGACAGAAACAACAATAAAAAAGAGAAATAGACCAGAGAGAGAGAAACCGTCATATCAAATGCTGCAAGCCTCGACAGAGATAATGGGATTAAGAGAGAGAGACCTCTGTGTAGGCGTCAATGGCAGCACCGAGGCGATCCTTCTTGAAGAAGGTGTTGCCGTCTTGTTTCAGGAGCTCCGCCTGCTTCGCCACGCTTGAGGGCACAGGAGGCATGGCTTCCTTCCCCTTTTGTCCTCTCTCTCTCACTCTAAAAGGGAAATGGCGAATTGGCGGACGAAGGAACCTGCGAAAGAGGTGTACCCAGTGTCCGAATCATTTTTCGAGCGCCTTTATTAAATCCCGCTGGAGCACTCTATGTTTTTGATCCTTCGATTAAAATGCCTGCTTTGGAGGATTTTATCGACTAAAATAGTTTATAATAACGGGAAAAGTTTATGTAGATCAGAGGCACTAAACAATCAAATTAGAGCCTAGCTCAAAAATTTGTTAGTAAAAGAGGTTGTTTTGATGCTCAAATATCATCTTAATATATATATATATATATATATATATATATAGAAAAATTTGGGATTAGCCCACTAGCTCATATGAATATATGAGAACTGCTCAGATTGAGTCTGGACCGATCTGACGATCATAGATGTCCGATAGTACATGAATTTTATTTATTTTTTTACAGATCCAAATCACTTAAAATTTTAGGTGTAGGTTTAATAAAAATATATAAAAAAAATTATTCGTGGAAAAAAAGACTAGAATACCTTTTGAAACTTTTCGAGGGTATTTTGATCAATTTATTTCATGCAAAATACTTTTTTTATATTTTTCGAAGATTCACCTATTTTTTATGAACATATGTCTAAAACTTCAAGTTATTTGGATTTGTAGAAAAAAAATTAAAATTCAAACACTATTGGACATCCATGATTGTCAAATCGGCCCAAAATCAATCTGAAACGTTAGGCTCATATGTTCATATGAGCTAGTCGGTTAATCTCATCTTTTCTATATATATATATATATTAATGATCCTGAGACCCTCCCACACTCATGTTTATGGGATCCTAAAAGATTATCATTAAATTTTGGTATAGATATCAAGAAAAGTTATCACATGTATGGGACTTGACTTTTTTAAAAATCCATGCCAAATTTAATAGTGATCATTTGGGATCCTACACACATAGTAGTAGGACGGTCTCATAGGATTACTCTCTCTATATATATATATATATGAAAATAAGATTTCAATTCCTAAAAATAATAGTGAGTGGGTTGAGGACTTGGTTGTAGTAGCACAAAGGCCTTAAATGTCTCACTAACTTACGCAAAAAAAACTATATAAGCATTATTTTTAGGGGGGCTTCTCTGCCACTGACTTACTCAGAAAAAAAATTGTCTGAAAAATAATGCATGTTATAATGCATTATCTAAACTGTTAAGTTTTTTAAAAGAGTAATGATCCTGTGAGACCCTTCCACACTCATATGTATTGGAGCAACATTAAATTTGACATTGATATTTAGAAAAGTTATCACATGATGTGGGACTTAATTTTTTTAGATATCTATGCCAAATTTAATGGTGATCTTTTGAGATCTTACATATATATGGGTGTGAGAGGGTTACATGATCATTTCCTTTTTTAAAAAATAGATATTTATAGATGTACACGATTTACATTATTTTTAGAGCTTAAAATATCATGATTAGGGTTTAAAATATATTTTTAGCCAATTATAGAGTTTTTGGCACCGGGGACCACATTTTTTAGCAAAATTTAGGGGTGCATCTATGCATTGAGGTTGACCACATTCCAAGGTTGGGCCTTGTTAAGTCTCCCTTGTGAATTAAAAATACTCGGTTTTCATGTGAGGTAGTGAATGCCAGAATGCTCCTGGATCACCCTATATTATTTGGGCTTTTTTTTCTTGCGTTTTAAATATCAAAATTGAAGTGACCGTAATTACCTCCTTAATTTCCATGCCTTTATGTAAGTTGCTTTCGGTATGATACTTGTCTTCTCTTATCTCTTTTTTTTTCTTTTTGCAGCGTGGATTGGCCAAAGAGGACTGACTTTCCACGAAGATGTGCGAGAAAGATTAAGAGAAATGGTGAAGAATTAATTGAACTTATAATAAACATAAAAGAAAAATAAAAGTATACAGAGAAGCTATTTATTTTTAATACAAGGAGATCATAATCATTAGTGTCCGTCATATTTTAAATTGGATGGTTATGAGTGCGTATGTGATTAGATTCAAAGTTAAAAAAAAACATTTATCCCAAGCCATCTAACTTGATATCTAAAGGCTAGAAAGAATTGTGTCTTTCTTGTAATAAAGTTAAATGGTCTCATAGTATACAATCCCATAAAAAAACAATAGTAGATGATGAATACAAAATATTTTCTAAGGGACAACCAGCACCTCAAATTAGGTTGGAATATATTAAAAAAATAGATTTCAAACTCTAAAATTGATTCATATTGCAACATGTTTTCTAGGCTATTTGTTTCAAACTCTTCAAAGATCCATTAGATCAATACCATTTTGGAATTTCAAGTTCCACAATCAAGAACAGTAATAGATTTCATGAGCTGGTCTTTAAGGTGTCGTTTTACCAATTTCAAAATTGTGCAGCCTTATAGAAACCGTCTTAATAAATAGATATATGTATGTGATGGTAAAACATTTACAAAAGGGTGTGGTTTGTATAAGGTTGAGGCTCTAAACTATCAAAGTAGAGCGCACCTTCAAATAACATTAAAAGATATTGTTTTAGTAGAAAAAATATTTATGATGGCTTGAAAACTTTTTTTCACCTCTAATTATAAAATTTAAAGCTTAAAAAATAGTGCAAATCAAACAGATCTATGAACACTTGATGATCGTAAAAAGCGATGCTCTAGATAATACATTATAAGGTGCACTATTCCAAGACTTGGAGTCTATTTTCTTTTAGGTACATATATCTCAAGGTTGAGATGTCAAATTTGAGGGGCTTTTGGCATCAAAAAACTTTTTCTAATGAATTTTTGAGGTGCACCTTAATTTAATGCCTCAACCTTAATGAACTTTTGAATTTTTTCTTTTCCATATTTTATGTTTTTCTTCTAATTTATTTTTAGAAACTTTTTCTAAATATTTTCTGGATAATGAATACAAAATAAATAAATTTCCTCAGAAAAAAGAAGTTTCACTTTTCCATAAGAATAGTGGGGAAGGGGTCTTGAACATGCTTTTGAGGAAAGCTTTATTTTTGCCCCCTTTGCACCCTCAAAGCGGCTTCCATGCAATTACCAGGTAGTTGATTGGCCATTTCTATTATTTTCTTAGACATAAGAAAATGTCATACTAGTCTTTTCAGCTTCCACACTTCCTTTTTGTTTCCTTGATGTCTCCATTCTCAAAAGGAATTTCAAAGAAAAGTATGTTATTTGTTGTCAAGGAGTCTCGTAGGATATTCTTACAACTTTTGAAAGAGACATATTTAAGCTTAACTATGAATACATCATTTCCTAGAAGAATATGAATTTTAGGAAAATAAAAATACAAAAAAAGGTAAATTGGTTGTCAAAAGGTAACGTCAAGATGGTAACTCTTATTTCGACGTAAGGTTGCAATGTTCTATACCGTCCATTGTAGTTGAATGATGTAGGTTTGACATATTTGTTAAAAGGAAAAAGTTTATATAGAGCCGAGGCTCTAAACAATCAAATTGGAGCCTACTTCAAAATTTTCATTAGAAGATTTTATTTTGATGCCCAAATATCATCAAATTGATCATCTCGACATCAAGATGCATGTATCTGAAAAAAAAAATGGATTTCAAGTTTTGAAAATAGTGCATCTTGTGATGCATTTTTGGACCATTAATTTTCAAGATTTTCAAGTCTTCAAGTTTTATAAATCTACTTAATCTACACTATTTTTCAAGCTTTAAATTTTATAACTAAATATGAACATATAATTTTAGGCTATCACAAGATCTTCTAGTATTTAAACCATATTTCTCGACACTATTTGAAGGTGGGCTCTAATTTGATTGTTTAGAGCCTCAGTTACTATTTTGAAAAACTGGGTGGTCTAACCGCTAACCGCTCAGTTAGATCGGAACCGGTCTAACGTTTGGGTACGTTTTCCCGG